ACGATTTCATGAAATAAGTTAAGCTGAGTTCAAATTAAAAGTTTTTCAAGGATTTCGCACTTAGTGGAGTTTTAATAGAGTGCTAGGTTAGGATTTAGTGTAAAACTTTAAATTACAGGTAGGAAGTAAAGTGAATGACAACGAAAAAAACCTATATTTAGGCAATCTGAAGAAAATTTTCGATGTCGGTTTTCTTTGTTAGTATACTTGAATATGTTTAGGCCGCAAATATGTCACTGTTTCATTGAAACAAAAATATTTTGCCGACAAAGAGAAAATTATTACGTGACAAATAAACGACAAAAGAGACAGAGTCAAACATTGACAGGAAAACGACCAAACTGCTAAATCTGAGAGAAGGAACAATACATAAAAAGAGACGATACAAACCAAACATTTACAGAGTGTCAAGAAAAGTGAAATGTTTAGCATAAAAATACGATTTTGATTGACCAATCGCTTGTGAGCTTAGAGAGTTTACTTTGAGCGCTTGTGAATTTTAATTGGCGGACAAAATAGGAAGTCTGCATAATACACAAAGAGCTGTTATATAAAGAGAGACGCCTCTTACACCTAAACTCAGTTGTAATTAAACAACTTTCAAGGCAGTTAAGAATTCCCATCAACAAGACTTTCAAAGAGAAACGACTCATTTCACAAACATACTGACCTGCGAAGCCGACTTTAGCTTAGAAAAGGTAAGTTGAGTTTGAGGAATTTTTTTCATATATATTCATTATATTTTTGTTATTCGAGAGATGTTAGAGAGTCTGCCAGAGGTGCCATAGTTCTTTCAAGGAAGATTGAACGTAGACATCGACGGTTCAACCGAATCGTGATAAATGTTATTGCTGGAGCCTATTTCGTTAGAAACTTGTGGGTTGGCAAACGACAGAGCAAACAAGAATTCTCCTGGTTGTTGAATGTTTATAAGGCTACCACCGTTTCAGTTTGAACAATCAGAAATAAGAATACAACTTTAAGTCAATCTTGACTCAGGGAAAACTTCTTGTATTGCCAACGAGAGACGTGAGCAGCGTAAAAGAAGACTTCTAGCTGCCTAAAACTCGGTTTTGTCCAATGAAGAATAAGAAAGATGGGTTGTTTTCAGGTATTGGATAAACTACGGTTCTTTAAATAAACAAATCGCTCGTTTTCTCACAACGAAATACGTTTTCGTTTGGTAGATATATTTGTAATGTTTAAGCAAGCAATTCTTCGCGACTTGTTGTGTTCGGTAATTTTTTTTCGCTCGGTCCAATATTTGGACTGTTTTGTTGAGTTGTGTTTGCAAATTTGATATGGTTGTTGGTTAAAGAAAGCTAACTGTTGAACAGTTAAACTTCAGTGAGCCCGCCAAAAGTCATTGTCATGTTCCATTTCCCGCCAACAAATGTTGAAATCGTTGATTGTGGCTTACGTGTTGAGAGTTTTAGCCGTTGTAACTGTCTTCTGTAAGATTTGGGGAGAATTTAAACCGAAATAAGTAGATAAGTGTTTGATAATTAAGCGCCTTAGGGCAAACAGCTATCTTAACTTTTTGTCATCGAAACTAAAGATCAAAAGCCGATACAGATGATGCTATTTACGTACGAAGCCAAAGAGGAACATCGCAAATCACCATTACAGTTCGTTATGAAGGCGAGTGAACCCAAAATGTACACATTTCATTTGAACATATTTTGGCTGTCCAGGCTCTACTGTTCTTCAGTGTTATCGGAGGGTATTTCTACCTAATTTTTCGTACTGAGTAAGCCTGCTTTCCGCGTTTCTCAAATATTTAGAAACCGCTGTTTAAAGTGCGAATTTATCTGTCAGCACGTCAGTAGATTTGAATTACAGTAGCCTCCACAGGATTTCGTGCATAACTGCTTTTCCTGGGTGCATAAAGCATGTCAAGCATCTAAATAAACGATGTTCACATCACCAAAAATAAACTACGGAACAATTCAGGCAATGGTCTATGTTTAGGGCCTTACGATGTCCAGTAAATAAAGACTGGTCAGAGAACACAAGGTTAGCCTTAACGGACTCCATAACATTTCTTAGTGAGCAAAATCGTTTCTTTCGGGACGTAAAGTTCTACAAACACATTACATTAGCGCCTATGCAAACTTTCCGCTGTAACTCACGTATTTTAAAACCAATTTTTCATGTAGTTTGGAGACATCTCGAGGTTGATTTTAGAGTTACACACTGAATCATCTGGGAAAAACTTCAACAAAAATTTTCACTTGCATAAAATAATCATAAACTGTGGATGATCGATCTACAAATGTGGTTTGTTTACTCTTGAAAAGTCACAGAAGACATATTAAAATTTAAGCTCATTTTCAAAACAGAAGGAACACTTTCTAAAGTTGACAGCTTTGTTCCTTATTAGAAAAATGAAATGTCGTATATTATCTCGCAGGAAATTACAAGTAAGAATTACTAAGAGGCGTCACTACAGTGCACATAAGTCCACGCGAAAGTCTGATATTTTCCGTCGAAGCAAACGTATTAAAATTGAAGGGCGCAAAAATTAATGAACACTCCACAAAAAACTGGGACCATTGAGAGCAAAATGATTGCAATTAGTGGTGCGCATCAATTGCTAGTCGGCTGTCGAGTACTTCCTTTAGTTATTGAATGAAGAATAAGAGTTTAGTGAGATTAGCGCAAAACCAACATAAGCAAGGTTATAACATACGGCTCTTCTCGACAGGTGTGTCAGTTAAATTAAATTTAACCAAAAATTCGATTCCCTCCTAATGTAGGACCAAACTAGTGAAGGAAAGAATGTTGATAAAAATTTCTCAATCACCGATAAACGTTTTTAAAACCGCAGGCACCTTTTATTTCTTCAAATTGTCAGGATTGTAACTATCACTTAGAATTTCTAAAGAAAGCCGACTGCAAAGAAAAGCGTGCATAATTGAGGTGTCTTTTATATTCAAAGGGTTCGACCTAAATAACGGCTCTACATAATAAGAAAAATTGCGGTAGTTCACAGCAAGGCCAATTAAACGAGATTCCATGATGTTTGAAAAGCCCAGATAGCTAAGAATTACGGCGTGTTTAGCGCTTCCTTTAGATTCCCTGGTATTAAAGGAATTGCCATTCTAAAGTCTTTGATAATCCTTTAGTGACAACATTCGGTTTCTACTCTCTAACAAAGTTTATTGCTTACATCATGGCGCGATGAACACCTAGTAAATCGTCTTTAGACAAAATAAAGACCTTTTTTTTACATCCAGGTAGGGTAATAAAAGCTAAATTGCGGCAAACACTACACAATACAAGCTTTTTCGACAACAGATAGTGTTGCCGGCGCTAAGCAAACAGGTTAGATTGAGCATAATAGAAACTACTCCTTCAGAGTACGAGAGGTTCTGAGGTCTCTTTACCTGGAATAAAGTTCCTTAATGCTCCCATATTGATCGAGAACCAAGCATGCAAACATTTATAAATAGAATCCTTAAACACTAAGGGTCGGAAACAACCAAATAATGTCTGTTTGCAAGGGTTAGTAGTGTTAAGTTGGTCGGTCAATAATTCATCTTGTTCGATTGCTCATTTCATGAAGATAATCTCAGTTGCAAGCGAAGATCCAAGCTGTGGGAAAGTTTTGGCCAAGTTTCGTTTCTGCCGAGTGAAATGTGAAAGTTGTGAAAGCTTGACACATCTATTCAAAATGGGCGGCTTGCAATATGAAGGTCATTTGAAATTCTTACAATTATAATCACTGTAGATCTACAGCTGTCTGAAAAGGCACCTGGATATGGCTTTTGTGGAATGATTGACGCAACCCAAATTTGTTAATTAATTGCCTCAGTTTCCGGAAATGAGAAATTGGATTCTAAAAATTTTACATTTTTCTTTTCGTCCCACGCGCTGATTTGGCCCTATAAAAAACTTACAGATTTTATCGCTCCGTTTCTGAGAGTACAAATGTCAAGAGGGAAGGAAAAAAAAAACTTAAGCAAAAATATTTTCTGTGAACAAACCAATGTGACTTTCTTAGCGAAATAGCCATGAATGATCGATTCAGACAATTCAGGCATCGCTCCAATTTGACAGCAGTTTAGCAAAAGTGATTAAATGAAAGTCGTGTTTTTGTGTGTTATTTAGGTCGCGTTTCTCCCGGACCGATCTTAATGAGTCAAGTAAACTAGGAACAAAGCGCTCAGCCAGAGGCTTAGAATAATTTAAATCGATGATACAACGACCGAAAGATATCCTCGCAATAATGCCAGAACAGGTGCTTCCAGACCAGTTCCAAATTAAAGCCGAGTGCAAGGTTTTTCTCTCTCTAAGCTATTAATCCTTGCATTTAAAAAAGCCGGTGCCTAAGTAGTAGAAAAGAGCTTTGCGCCAAGTTAGTTTCCAGTGGTAATTGCTTTTGTTTGTGGAATTTATATTTGCAGTTGTTATGCTAATTGCGGAGGCCAATAGTAGGCCGGCAAGACCTAGGTTACAGCTAGGCTCTACAAGAATGTTAAGCGACCCCGGTTTTTCGTGCGGTCAGTTTTTGACGTGAATAATTTGAGCACTCAAACGCTAAATTGCATAGCTTTTAAGGTGTTGTGTGATGACGGAGGGCTTTTACCGCTCCAATCTAACCATCCTTCCTGTTCTTTCAAAGATATCAGCACCTTTAGATCTTTTGCCATTAATGTTAGTTTATCCTGTGCGAACGGTGATCTTTGTGTAGTGTTGACATTAAGGATACGAGATAGGACCGAACCATAAAGTGTCCTATCGTAATAATTGTATTTGCTCATGAATTATGAAACGGCAATTTGTTTGTAAGCCTTCGTGATGGACAAGCGATAATGGACCCCACAACTTTTAATAAAATGTCTCCCCACGGGTGGTCGCAAAGGCCCCTATGTCAATAAACGTAGCAAGGCTCCAAAGGGCTTTCCCATGGAACAATAGCTTGGGAGGGGCTTACAGACATGTCACGTTAAGCCTGTTTACGAACTGTCACTAAAAATAAAACTTCTTATTACTAGGAAAAAAGAGTAATCTACGCTGGTCTCCGTGGCAGAAGGACGTGACAGGACGGTACGAAGCTACGTTCAGTCACCAACCAATTTTTTTTAACACAGTCGACGTGCTAGTACAATAGAGAACAGCCTACATCATGATGGAAGCAATGAATCCCGGCAATCCTGCAGCCGCCATGGGAGTCGGAAACCCGCAAGCACAAGGCCACCCTTTGGACGACAGCAAGAGTAAGCAGGCGAAAGAGAAAGTTTACCGCCGAAGTTACACTCACGCTAAACCACCTTACTCATACATTTCGCTGATAACAATGGCCATCCAACAGTCGCCGAACAAGATGCTTACGCTCAGCGAAATTTATCAGTTTATCATGGATCTGTTTCCGTTCTACAGACAAAACCAGCAGCGGTGGCAGAACTCCATACGACACAGCCTCTCGTTCAACGACTGCTTCGTGAAAGTTCCTCGATCGCCAGACAGGCCTGGCAAAGGGAGCTACTGGACACTTCATCCCGACTGTGGAAACATGTTCGAGAACGGCTGCTATCTACGCAGACAGAAACGCTTCAAGGCGGATAAAAAGCCAAGCCTGAGTGACCTTCCTAAGCCTGGGTTGTTGAGCCCGGTTGTTTCCTCGATGCATCATCAAAAAGTCCAAGGACCCAAGAGTTTAGGAGCACCCAGCTTTCTTGCACCGTCTCCCTACAGTGCTATGAGCGCAATGGGCGCCATGGGAGCTATGGGAATGGGAGCAATGGGCTCAATGTCTATGAACAAATCATTTAATCATCCATTCGCCATCAAGAACATCATCGCCTCCGACCACGAAGCCGACCTCAGAGGCTTCGATCCAATGCACTTTAGCCCGTATCATCCCGCAGGAATGTCTTCATCCATGTCTTCTCTAGGACTACCAAAACCTTACGACACTAACCCTATTACGACAGAGCCCAGTCCGTATTACCAGGGCTGTGTGTTTACACCGTCTAGTTGCGCGGGAATAGCAGGGTTTTCAAACATTTCATAAACTGATAAATGAACCATTCAGGGATGTCGGACGCTTAAATTATGTACTATTTCAGGCGCTCAGGAGCTGCCTTGTAAATTGAGTTATCTGTTATGATACAGTTTGCCAGTGTATACGAATTAATACTTAAATTCCAAGGTGATTTTGTTGATTATATGTCAAATAGACGTTTTTTTTCCCTGCCAAAGAAGACCAAAACATTGGAGCAAATATAGAAGAATTCTATGAAAGTTAAAGAAAATTATAAGAAGTGTAATATAGCTTGTACCATTTCATTCAGTCGTCGTGCTCACTGTGATTATAGAGTATTTTGACGAAAGTAAATGTATAAATCAAAATATTTTGAAACTGAATTAATCGGAAGACGTGATCGTTTAAGTTATGTTTGGGGGCAATTCAAAATTAGGAGCATTTGTTGCAAACTCAGTACGTTATTGTTTAGTGTTTTTTTGCTGCATGACAAAAGATGAGCCAGAAATTTTCCAAACTACCGAGTTATTCGGTACAAACTGCTCTTGTGGTTAGCGGTTCGTATGTCTACTGTGTATTTAACACTACATTTACCATTATTTATATAAGCAGGGAGAGGTTTTGTAAATTTACAGTCTTGCCCAAATAGCAGTTGTTGGTTCAACGAAATAAATTTTTAACGAAGAGTTTTCTTGACGTCTTTATTGTTTCCAATGTCGCCGTTGCAGTAAGTTGAGGTTGTTGAGAAGCGAAGTCAAATTAATTATTTATCGGCTGGCAGCGAAAGCTAACAGCCTTCCAAATGCCAGCTTTTTTAATTAAAAGTAATCAACAGTTCGACATTTCCCGTAACAGTTTTGACAAATACTTGGCAAACCGAGTTATAACGTATAGAGCGCGGCGATCAGCCTTGACAAGTGTCGTGCGCGCGAAGTAAGGAATTAATCCTAGAGCGCCCGCCGCAAGGGTACCCCAGTATGGGGTCCGGCTGCAAACAGAAAATCGTGGCGGTAACATTACGATGTGTGAAAACCACTTTACACGCAGTAATCGAATTTGAGAGACTTTTTCCTTGATAGAACGTGTAGTAAAGGTGTTAAAACAGTTCGCCGATCGCTAGCGGTCCCTTTGAAATTTCCCTTAGGATCATCTGCCATCCTTTTCTCTAATTTTTGGCCCAATAAACTTTTCTCATGTCGATGTTTCTTTGAACAACAATGATATCTAAAAACAGCTTTTCTTTGCTTGGAGAAAAAGCCTATAGTGTCAGCGCTGAATGATGTGATGAAAGATTGGAAATCATAGCGCAAACTTGCCTCAAATCAGCGGGAAAGCATTCTAAACACACTAGTTCTTGAATGATTCGAACAATCAACACGCCAATCTTTCGCAAACTTTTGGAACTTGTGTTTGAAGAAGTCCTCTTTCAGGAGATCAAATTTCTTGAAAGGGTTCTTAACTGCCCAAACTCGACTGAGTTGTTAGTTTAAACACCAACCTGTATACACAGTCAGGCATGCATTATTAGCTAAAAAAATACATTGAATTCGATTGATAGCTAAGGCGCTGTTGATGTCTACCGCTGTCGAAACCTTCTGTTCCTACGAATAGAATGGGAAGTTCAGTCTAAGGCTCTGGGGTAAACTGAAGTTTGAGCAACGAGGAAACATTTAAGGTACAGTACGTACGTTTTGCTTTTATTCGCATACATCTCCGCTAGCCCAACTCAAGCGAAGTTTCCGTGGGAAAAAGCGGGCCTTTCTTATGAGTATTGTAAAGGTCGATCGGCGGCGATCATTTCGGTCACAGTTTTGGTAACTCGCAACATGGTTATCACATTTATCCTTTGTTTTTGTCTTTCGGACACTTTTATGTCTTACACTGGTGCAAACTTTTCATCAATCGCAGTGACTTTTTTCAGGAGATTCCTTACCACTAAAGCGCTTTGCGCGGTCCGCGAAGCGGCTCTATTTCGTCACGTAAGCCGATTAAAACTTACTAAAGGAAAATTTGCGTTTGACAAACGACGTAAGGTCATCAAGACAGGGTTTTTTCGAATTCAAATTGTTCCTGAATTGCCTTAGCACACTAAGTCGTAATGAGGTGACAGTCGTTCGCCGCGAATGAATATCAATTCCGCGTGAACACGGCGTGAAGCTCCGTGCTCTAGGCGCTGTTCACCGCACGCTTGCACCCTGAAGTGATACATAAACGTCCAAGAGGCCATAGCCTGATGATAATTCTAGTTTAAGTCGTCTGGAGTGCTCCCGCATATCTCACATCTGTTAAGGTACGTTTGTCACTTGAACTTATTACAAACGGGGACAGTATGGTAAAGATACTACACTTTCACTACCCAAGATCGCATTGAAAGGAATTGCGTTGTTATGGCGTGGTATTTTCGGTCAGTGTCAGTTGTAGACAAAACGAGAAAAGAGAATCATAGCATCATTAAAAGTTTAATATGTTTATCACCTTAGGTCGGCAAAATGAGTGATTTGGGAAAGCCGGAAGATGCATCTGAACTATTGTTCTAACCCGCCTTCACTTCTAAACGAAAGAAAAAATCTTAGGGAGTACCGATCAACGTTGACGTGGAATTCTATGTAACAATTTGCCTTAGGCGTTTGAGTTAGGGACCATACTATAAAAGAAACCTTGAAAAGAATTTAGCCCTGCGATTAATTTTATTCAATATATCCTACAGTAGAATATCAAAGGCTCCGAAATCTTTTAATCAAGCTATGACACAATCCGGTTCGAACTGGCGGCATTTCGTTCTTAGTTTTAAAGGAATTCAATCGAATTTGAAGATGTCGGGTAGCAGCGAAGGTTTAATGTTTATTCGGAAACAATGTTCTTTTGTTCTGTTCGTATTAGGGACACGGGTTATAATCATGGAGGTGATCATTTTCAACTTAAGACAAGATATTTCATGTTTTAAAGACGGAGGAATACCAAGTTTTTCATGTCCGATCGACCTTGCAAGCCTTGAAGGTGAAATTTGGGTAGAAGTTAAAGTAAACTGTATTGAATAGCTTTGTTTATATTATCTTTCCTAAACCTGGTATACGAATAAAGAAAAATTTCCCTGAGGTGTAATCTAAGGAGAACTTGTTTCTAGGTGAAGAAAAGAGGGAAAGTATATGACAAATTGCACCTCAATCGCACACAAAAATCCCGAGAGTCAAACGCATTCGCTTTATTATTAGCGTTGAATAACACTCCAACATGGCGTATGGCTACTTCACTGATTTAAGAGTTTCGTGACCAGATTGCTTTAAATTCACTCTCTTTACTGTTTCTTTAGTTTACAAGTGGTTTTCAATAGCTTTCATTTGGACTGGAAATGCGAAAATTAAGCCTTACAATGAAGCAAGACGCGGAAAAATCTTTTCGCTTGTTAAGTGGCTTTTTATGGTTCATCTTGAATTTCATGAGTTTTGTCTCTGCCAAAAGTTCAACCGATAAGAGCGCAATTTATTCGGGCCGCGTTCTCATTCACTGTTGTGTCATAATTCAATATCTGCTCTAGTCACTTAAGAGAAAAATAAAAGTATCGCATTCAGAGAGGACATCTGCAAAGCTGCTCACTGATAAAGCCGACTTGTGCGTGCCTCCCATAAAGCGGGCAGGTACTTCGGCTGTCGTTCCTCGAACGTAGTCACCCCAAATTTCCTTTTTGATCTTATCTAAGCCCGTGCCTGGTGTAATTTATTTTCAACACGAATTGTGCAAACTGGGGAATTGACATGAGAAGATGATTGCTTTCATCAACGATAGACTAAGACAGATTACTTTTGAAGATGGCACCAAGATGTTTTGAGGTCAGCCCTGAGATTGAATGTATATTCATCCGGTTCTGCAATTTAAGCCTTTGCAATATTTATTCAAAACCCTTCTCAATAAAAGAAACTTGAAACTCAGTCGATATTTTCTAAACGATATTCGAGACACGCGTCCGACTCGAGTAGAATGAGAGTGAACGATGACCAATCGTTTCAGTGAGCAAACACGCCGACCACCCATAGTTGTCTAAAGAGAAACCTTATGGCTTCCCTTCGCCTGAAAACGTATTTTCTTTAGGGTCAAAGGCGTGTTTAACTTACGAAGCTGAAATAATAGGCGTGCCTGAAAACTGAAAGCTTTTTCTATAGCATGTGTTCTTTGAACTCATAAGTGACTTTTTCGATTCGACGAGATTAGCCCTCAGGAAGGAAGTTTCGAAAATGAGCTGAGGAAATGGCGACATTAGTCAGGGAGGGGAAAGCGAAAGAGGTGCGGTGGATTAAACACTCTACCGCTGTCAGCAAGGTCCTTGAGTTATCGCAAAATATTTCTGATAACAATACCCAAGATTTTCTCGTCGCCAACGTAAACATCGACAAATTTTCCCTTTCGCAAAATACCACGCTCGTACTATGGCGAAAATGAAGTCGCGTCGAACATGTCTAAAATTAGGACTTTCTTTAGCATCGATATATCAAGCGAATATTCCTAACGCAGTTCAACGGCGAACGGTTTTATTAAGCGATTCAGTAGGGGAAAAACATTTAGAACTCTAGCTAAGTATAAAAGTTTACAGTTAGGACAAACTTTGGGAATCAGTGATTCAACTTGATGAGTTAAATATTTGCATGTTATATAGTTAACTGCTGGCTTAGGGAAAATATTGTTAAGTACACAACTCAGTTAAACTTTACTATAAATGTTCTCTAGAAGCTGAGACTTAGCTGTCAGTGGTTAACAGGCTCGCTGTCGATGTTTCTAAATCTAAATGATATCAGAAACTGTAGGATTCGCTTTTTATAAGCTGGTTACGATTAAAGTAAAGGGAGACGATTTTGCTAGTTTAAACCTTAGAAGTAGAACTAGAGCTAAGTGAACGCCAGCTAGGTCTCTTTAGCCACTCCACAGAGAGATTAATCATTTTTTTTTTTTGCTTTCCTTTGTGGTTAGCGACTGAACGAGATAGAATTCTCGTTGATGACCGACAAATTACTTGAGAAGCTTTGAAAATGATAGTCTTCGGTAATGGTTTCTGGTAGCGCACGTGGAAAGCAGGCAGACAAAAGAACTTCAAGGTATGACAAATGGTATCTCGATATTTAACATGTTTAGTGTAAAACTTGCTACAGAAGTTAATCGAGCTTAATCCTATAAACTCAAGTGTATTATAAATGTTTCTTTGACGCCAAATTCCATGGTATCGAGACAATATCAGCTTTAGAGAAAACGAGGTTTCGCAGCCTCTCACACCGATAAGTGAATGTAATCGAATTAGGTCCAATGTTATCCAAAAGCGACCAACATTTTATACGCTTCCGTAAATGTTTAGACTTCTGTGCGAAGATATCATTTATGTCCGACTCTCTGTTCTTCATGTAAAAAGTGTTTTCATACTAGAAGATATTTCTGAGTTTTGTCTTGCTGCTAACAGGATTTGTCATGTCACATCAGCTAATTGCTTATAAGAATCAGCCTTTAGGCTGATTCTTCGTCTTTACTAGGTTAAAGCTCAGGGCGACCGGGAAACCACAACGAGACTAAACATAACTTATCTTGAAATGTACAGAGCATCAACAAAACTGATGGTCGAATCTGCCATAAAAGATCTACTTATTCGTAACTGAATACTGCAATTTTGTACCAGTAGTGATGACTGAATGATTTCTTCGCAAAGATTTGTTTCTCTTGCAAGAAAACTTACACTTTTAGCCTGTAAGTATTTCCTTAGCAATGTTTTGAAAATGTCATTTCTGACTCAGAGAGAAGAGCAGTAATTATTTATCTGCCAAAACTTACAGCAAACAAATAAACATGGCGAACATGTCTGTTTGATAACTGGGCAAAGCCCGAAGACATAAGCACAATTACTAACGATGACAGCGGTATAGATGAGACCAAACAAACTTCACCAAGAATGAGAATTGCAATAAATCTGAAAGCTTTTGACAAAAAAGTTCTGAAAAACGTTAGTCGATGGTATTTAGGAAGGGCAGATTATACTGAGGTAATTATAGGAACACATGGGTTTCATTTTAGGGCGTTGCAGTTTTGAACGGGAAATTCGCATTTCTACAAGTCAGGTTGAAAAATAGTTTTGTTTTTGTAACGTTATGGAAAATAATACAACATTGGGTAACGAGATTCTTGCCCCTCGGGTGAAGTTGACTTAACGACGAAAAATTTTGAGTTTTAATTTTGTAAAACATTATGATCTTAGAAGATCTGTCTTGGAAGAATTAAGTTGTTTTGCCAGCTGTCGCCGTAAAATTGCAATTTCCTTTTCACTCGAATATGTTTTTACTGAAATGTATTCCTGGAAAGTTTTATTTTCGAGAGCGATAAATTGCGAGCGGTTTCTATCAAATGATTAAAAGCGAGTTTTGGAAATAGTTTTGTCTCCAAATATATTTTTTGTCTTCCCAAAGAAAGGCTTTCCCACGAGGATGACATGTTTACACAATGTCTTTCAAAAGATGTGTTCTAACCCTCTGTTATTGCTGTGCGCGTTGTAAATTCCGCCTAAGTTGAAAGGGCCCATTTTTGCATTTTAAAATTGCCAGTAATTATTTTTAGTAACGATTTTCAATTCTTAATTTCAAGAAGTATTAAAAGACCAGAAGTATCTAATTTTTTGCGGTATGGGATGTTTGAAAAATTGGCTCAGCTTCATCGTACATTTAACGTGTGTTTGCAGAGGTTTTAAAAGGATAAAAACTTGCCTGGCAACATAGATATTACGGAGGTGAGAGCAATTCTAAAATCAGTCCACGAAGAGTGATTACGGCCATAAATTTTTTTTCTTCTTTTGAGCTGGACCAAACTGGTCAAAACCCACTTGCGAGAATATAAAACTTCGCGTTCTTTTTGTTGTTGTTGTTGCATTTTTTATTTCTTCTTTTCATTTCATCTAATGATATAATCCATGTCTTTCATTCTAGGTTTTAAAGAACCTTGGGAGCTTTGCCGAGCTGTTTCATGGTAATAAATATAAAAAATGGAGAATGTATAATTAAGAAGAAACATTTCTTTGGAAGTTAGAGTTTTATTGCATTTTCCAGAACACTACAATCCTTGCGGCAGTATATCGATCCGTACGTCAGTTATAAACAAGGAGATTATATTATAAAGCGGTTTTGTAGTTTTCGTAAGGTTTTCCTAAAGCTCAAGAGAGCTTCCTTAGATAGTGAGACCATAGAAGAAAGATGGTCACCTGAGTAATCCTTGAGTTAGCCATCTGAGATGAAATAACCTAGCGTGATTAAGCTTAGGACATTGCATCGGTGAAAGATTATCTTCTTTTAATTTAATAGTCGGTGTCGATCCCAAGTATTAGTTGTTAGGAACATACAGCTCAAGTCTAAAAAAAATTCTGCACTCTTTTGGACTGTTTGCCATGATTTGATTTCATAAGAGTCTAAAGCTTCGCAGAAAAACCTTATCAACGTTTGCTTTCACCCATTCAAGCCAAATCAACTCGCCTTGTTTACAATTATATTACAACTGTTGAAATGTAAGGACGACGAAAGTGAATCAAATTTTTCTCACCGTAGTAAGGATATATTTTCTTGAAATGGTTATCAGGAGTAAAACAAATTCGCCAGCTTCTCGGTAGAGTTTTGGCTCAGTTTGGATGAGCCATTGCTGGATTCACTGCACAAAGAGAAAAACCTCTGTGACCTGGGCAGATGAAAAAACTAAATAAATCGTTTGTGCGAGAGTATAAAGTACTTTAAACTCAGTTGTTTTCTGTCGAGTTAACCCCTCATATACAAACACTGAAAGGTGAAACAGTTGACTCAAATTTCCTTTCGATAAATAGCAAGAAAAATATTTTCTCGCTTCAAGAGTGGGACAGCACATATTTTTAGTTTGCTTTTCGTGGGTCTTAGGAGATTAAGTAGGATTATGTCTTAGGTGGGTAGCACGAAGTTCTGTTCATTTTCGAACAGACAACAGTGCTAGAAATTACGGTAAAACTTTCTTCATTGCTGAAGGTAAGATGCAAAACTATCGATGACATATTAGGATTTTTTCTTTTTTAATACTTAAAAGGAAAAACCACGAATTTTATTCACATCTTCCTGTAGAGTGACTGACAGAGGTTTTAGACAACAGTTATAGAGACGCACCACAAAATACTGCAAGGGCCAAAAGGAATTAACAACAGATGTCTCATAAAAATTGAACATAAAACTCTTTGACAGCTTTTGACGAGGCATCATCAGCATTAAAGGCGCCATAGAAACTGAATGTTTTCACTACTAGTAAATTTAGATTTGTTCTGTGTATTTTCCTTGAGAAAATTCAATGATAAAGCTAACTGAGCTTAACTTAATGTAAAGTGTATTTCCATTCATCTTTTGCCATTCATGTCCTCTAGAAATGAGCTGCTAAGCATATTTATTGAAATTCTTGTAATTGTATCCTTCTCTTTACGAGGTCCCACTTTCTGGTAGTTCATATAAGTCTTGTAGAAACCAGGAGCATAATACAACGTCGATAAGTGAGGGAGAACTTTCCTGTAAGTCATAAAGTTGAAAATGATGATAGCATTTTGAAAATGGTTTTCAACACACTGAAATGCAAAGATTTGGTTATGTTGTTTGTTCTCAGGGCAGTTATGTTCGCTGGAAACACCAACCAAGTAAGGTCAGTTAGAAAATCGACGAGCAAACATGTTATCAAATTCAACGAATTTCTAGCTTCCAGAAATTAGAAATAATTTACAGAATTTGAGATGAAGATGCACCTTGTTTAGTGAGAGTCATCTCTAACAATTTTCCCTCGTTTGTCTGAGTTTGCTTTGTGTGTGTGTTCGAGTAACAATATATCTTGTGTCGATGTGTAGACGTTTGAATGTAAAATAAGTTAATAAACATTGATATATACTAAAAATTAGGCAAACCGAATGAGTGAACAAGTAAAAATTGGTTTAGTTCTGCAAGCTTATGTTAGATGCGTCTACGCAAGTTTCTTCTATGATTTTTTTAAAGAGTTTTGAAAATTTCATGAATCTCTTGGAATAATTGAATTGACCTAAAGCCAGACATCATGAGCAAAATTTTAAATTCTAATATTAGTCGAAGCGAAGATTGCTGCTTAATCTAAAAGAAGCTAAAATGTTTGTGCTCACAATGACAACTTTTAAAATTAAATGGGGACATTGCCAAGGGGAGAAGATTAATGTAACAATTTCTTGAGAGTCAGAATTTTAAACTGTAAACTTTCTTAAACTAAAAAAAGGGAATAAAAATACCTCTTTTTAGGAGGCGAGGATTTTTTTATAAAATTCAAACAAAATATGTTGCACTTTTCCCTTGGAAGGTCAAACCGCCTCTTACGAGTCTGATAACTTATTTTCATTATCCTTCAAAATCAATATATCTATGTACACATGATATTTTTCTAAAACTGGCGTTTTTAATATGTATGTTTGGTGGAGAGTGATGAAAAATTCGTTCTTTATAATTGTATTTTCAATTATAAGGCTTATTTGCTGAGGTGCTATCCGGGAGATGTTCATTTATGTTTTTCACTCAACTAACTAACACCTGTCCCGAATCTAATGGATGCCATTTTCCAAGTGTATTACTTTAATACCAGCACTAGATAAGATTCTGGAGCCTGATATTTTCACTCACGTCGTATATTTAGACTGCCTTCAATAATCAGCTTAACACGAAATAGATAAGCTCTTTAGGGTAGTTTCAACGTACCCGGGCGAGAATTGTTGTCAAATAGCCTGCATGGTTGGAATCAGTTTATGTTTGCAAAATAATTTTCCATAATTATTGTAAACCACGAAGAACAAGACAGAATAAATCGTTTCTTAAACCCAAAAAAGCAAAAGTAAGATCTACATTTCTTGTCAGCGAAAAGTGCTCTATTGATTTCCCTTGTTATTAGAACTGCTGTACCGGTAGACATCAATTGCCAAATCTCCTTCTCTTGGGAAAAACCAATTTCCGAACACAATTAAAATAGTTTAAACATTTTAATATGCGTCATAAGCCCAATTTTAAGGAAAATAAGCTATACCCTTACAACGGAAGAACAACAGTTTCAAATGACAGCATAAAAACTAAGTTTTCTGAATATCCAACAAGGAAAATATTATCTTAATTCGGCTGGAAGTATTGAATAAAAAGTGCAAGTGTCATTTGATAGTTGTGGTTGCTCATTTTTTAAATGTAAATTCATTAACAAGACGTGAAGTAAAACATTCGTCGAGGGAATGAGTGAGACTCGTGAAATCTTAGAGAACCTATGAGGCTACCTTAAGTGACATATGCTTTGAACCAGTGAATGTATTTTGCTATCCAGTTCTTAAGTTTTTTCACAACCTTTTCAGCGGCCAAAATTGCCGAATCTTCCCTTCCTGTTCTTTTAACGGGATGCGTCAAGTGGTCAAGACAGTGAGACCTGATTTAAATTTGTACAAAGATAGTTAAAATACTTCAGGAACAACCATAATCGTTTAAATTTTCATATCTTTACAGAAACTTATCCACATAAGATGGAAATGTGCAAACTGATCCTCAGCTTCCCGCCTTTTTACGTGGCTTCCTATTGTTCCACAAGAAGCCCCTAAAAGGTTTTCTTTTGTTATACTGATAAACATTTCGGCTTATCTGTTAAATGTAAACGACTTCTTTGGAACTTAGTAAAATAAAAGCTTTCAACTCCACTACTTTGTTTTGACTATAGTATGTGTCTCTTAAAAGTAATTACACCCACAAGCCAATTTTCTTTCGCTAGGTTCGTTCCAAAAATATTATTTTTTCGGTTTCCAGAATCGAGATGATATTTTAGTCGCTAGGAAGCTTTTGATTAATTTTTTATTCTTCGCAAAATCGAGTACGAAAGGTTTAAATTTCCTGGTATTTAGAGCAAGCCGAAACTAGATCTCCTTGTTCCCACGTTCACAAAAGACAAGAAAAAACGTTAAGCCTCTGCTTAGATCTAAAAGTGTCTCTTTTGTTTTTCACGTGCTGGTCTCTTTTGTTTTACAAAATTACCTTCACATTGCTAATCCCATCGTTCTAAAGAAATAGTTGAAGCAATAAAATTGTAATAAACCACAATTTATCTCACAAAGGTTGGTCTTTCTTTGAGTCTCTATTGTTTTTACTTTCTTATCTTTGCTTTAAGATCAGTTTGGACGACCTTTGCCAGAGAAAAGTAGGACGGTTATTCATGAGAAAGGTCCGTGGAATTTAAGCTGGGAGGAACTACACTTTACCTCAACTCTTAAAACCAGGAAGCTTTTAAAGCATTTGTTAGTTGGAAGTGTTAGGCCGATTTTAATTACAAAATTGTCCTATTATGCTCTTTGAAAAGCTTTTGAATCGGGCCCTAATATTCGCGGTAATGTTCTGATTACTGGTAAATTTGCTACACAATAGGCGCTTTCTGTCAATTAATTTGCAATGGCGTCCTTGTCGGTACAAATAGAAAACGTGATTATATACTGCAACGTTGTAGATCTCACTTCATTGTGACGATCTTACCGCAAAAACATATTTTCATTCAATTATTACTTTCCAATTTTTCTAAGCTCTTCTTTTAAATCTAACCCTAAAGACTCGCGCGATCGTGAATCCTTGCAGTCGGTCGTTGCGAACCGACGCAAGAAATTTTACTTCGTTTGTTTTCGTATAAACGACCTTTTAAACATTACTGACCGAGAAACGCTTGAACTTGTCTGAAAGAAAATTTTGCTGCAATTACGGGCCTAATGATTTTTTTCCTGTAACTCAGTCGAATTTTCTGTAATGACTTAACAATTTCCGACATAAAAATACAATAGGAACAATGGGGAGATCAGTTACGGAAGAATTTTCCACAATCTTGGACATGCAACTCTTTTATTATTGATTAAATTTCTACTCGTGAAGTACTTGACACCGAAAACCACGGTGTCGTACTTTCAGCACTAACTTTCAATTTTGCGCTATTAAAACAAATCTTGACCATTGCGTGGAACAAAATCTATATTTTCTTGGTAAACACATTAAAGGTTGAATGACACATGTTGTCAAGCCTTTATCAGAAAATCCGTTGAATTTATGAACAGTTCTTTCAGGCCTAATTCTTTATTTATTAGGGTGGTACATTTTTGCATAATCACAAGCTTCGAGGAGGGCTTTCCCAGCTTCCGTACCTTGACATGTTGTTGTGTAGGTTCCTACGTGCGGGAAAAACAACCGCGCGCACGAATTCTGAAAAGCACACGAGAACAGAACGTTAGTCAAAATATTTGGGAGCGGTTTGTTCGGAAGCAAACATGTACCATGTATTACCCCTCTAAAAGAGGATTTTGCTGTACACAGACATATTGAACACAAACACGACGCAAAAATATTTGTTCTCGAATATTATTTGTTGAAATTGTGTGATATAAACCTTAACGTTTAAAGCGCGTTCAACTCACGCATTACACATCGGCGTTCATGAATGGGGAAAAGTATTACGTTATTTTACATGGAAGGCTCTGCTTTGGCTTTTTATGAAGAGGGAAGCTGTGAAAAAGTCCTTTGTTTTAGCCGTTTGTTTGTTTAGAGGTAAATTGATTTTTTTTGCGTGGGAAAAATTGACAGTCCAACTGTCGCTTCTTAGGATTAGATCTGACCCTATGTTCGTCATTGGCAAACCTCACTGGTTTTTGCATAAAAGTAATTCGTTGCAATTAAAAGTAGGGTCCGACTTTGGTTTACACACCTTCCCTGATCAATCGTCTCGTTTGTTCAGGGGTTGACACTCATTCAAACCTTTTGTCTCACAGCCTGTTATTACTCAAAGAAATAATGTTTATCATCGACTATTTCCAATCTTTCTCAAAAATAGAATTTCTCGCTCCGGTTTTAATACTAATTGTAATCCATGCTGTCTAATTGAACAGCGAAAACAATTTTCACTTCAGCGCCCATCGTCTAAAACAAAGACATCGTTATTGCCGTTTGCGGAATATTTCGTAGGCGTTTCAAAATTTTTGACAGGCAATTTTGCTAGTGTACTTTAATAAAAGTGGACAAAATTCCAAACTTGGGTCTCCGTTGATAAGGTAGCCGTGAATTCTAATTATCCTCCTTGCTGCAGCCTGAGAAAGATTGTTGTGTCAACGAAGCCAAATTCCGCCATTTTTGCCGTGTGTATCGCGCAATAGTTTATTGTAATTGTTTGATTTCTCTCGATGTACACGAAGAACGAATTCAAACAAGTTAGGAAAATAAACTTATAAATTTTGAATTCTGTTGACTTAGAACTGGGCTGGTTTGGTTTGCTGTTGGCGAGTTAAATATATGTCCGGATTTTACAGTTTAGTGCAGATAAAATAGTCGAATAATGAATTTGTTTGTTAAGAGAGAATAATTCTTGAACAGAAACCTTCAACGCCGACTCTTGGGTAACGCGAATCGTTCATGATTTAGTATATTCCTCGACAAAAATGACCACATTTGAACTTTATATGATGCTGTAGAGGTAACTAACAGGAGCTTAAAGTTTTAGGCTGATTCTGTTGCATCACTCAACTTCCGTACAAGTGAAAAGTATATATGCCTGAGGCGATTGACAGGAGTTTTACTGCGACTATTTTCATTGCAAACAGCTTTACAGTTGAACTTCATTCTACTAATACAATTTTCCCTTCCTCTAGTTATTAAGGTAATCTTTACATGTCTGTATTAAACAAATGCATAAAATTCGATAGGACATAAATTTTTGTAGCTTTTGTCTTACATCTACCCTAATTTCGTTTACATTCGTTTTCATTCGGCAAATGTTTTCGACAGTTGCAGATACAGTATCTACTTGCGGGATTATATCAAGTCAAGAGAAAAACACTTCTGCTGTACACGTACTGAGATCAAGTTGTGTTTCTAAGTTTGTAACCCACTGAATTATATCATCACCTAATATTATAGCGATTCTTATTGAAATTGCTATACTATTTTAGTTTCTTGCGGGAGTTGCGCTCAGGATAGCTATGTTATGAGGAAAAAATAAAATGCTTTTAGGCGGTTTGGACAAGAGAAAACACTGTGCACCTTAATCAGCATGCATAATGGTGAAAATACCTAGGTATCTTCGGAGGAACTTGTTACGTAAACTTCGAGTGTGCTTTCACGCTACTAATATCGTGACGCTGAAGAAAGTAGCGTTTAAGTTATCAAGTAATCCTCAGAGTATTCACAAAGTGATAGCATAGCCAACATTTGAGTGGAATTACAAATATTGGGCCATGCAAGACTCCCAGGACAAACACTCTCCCAAAATATTGTCCTACGCGTTTACAAACTTGAAAGTAAGTTTCAAATTATGGAACACAATTGCTAATAGCAATTAAGGGACGCATCGACGTTTAAAGTCCCTTTTCTTGCGAATTTTGCAATTTAAGGTGTTCTTTCTTCTTGAGAGAATAATTTAAAGTAGGATTGCATTCGTTTTGCGAATGTCAACAAGTGTAAAGTAATCATTATGTTTCATCCACACAATCTTAGAACAACACGGCACGAAAACCCTTGACTTAACTTTCCCTGCTCATTTAAACTGTCCCAGTTCCAAAAACATCATCACTGTTTGCCACATCTAAAAGATTTTTGGGCGCCTTTCGAGTAATTCTTGGAAGATATGCTGTTTTCGCCTCCGAGCGTAATATATCGGCCTTGTAAATAACCCGGTATAAAATGTGTCCATTCTGTTATAATGGAGGTCAGGGTTGGTTTGAGTAGTACATGTGAAGAATCCGATTTACTTTCATCCTTACAGTTAAATATTCAGAAATTAATACTGATATCTCGCTCGACCAGAAAAGAGAGATCACTTCAATCTATATTTCATCGTTTTTAAACAATATTTTCAGTAGAATTCTATATTTAGTATAGATATTTATAAATGCTTTTTCAAGCGGAATTTGGGTTTTGGAAAATCTACTTTAGTTTCATGATAAAAATCCTGTATTTTTTCCAATCAAAGTTTTTTACCCATCTGCGCAAAATTTATTTCCATCGCGAAACAATGGTGTATATGTTTCAAATTTTCCCGTTAGCACTTCTCTGCAAATTTGCTCCTCGCTACAATCAGTGTTTTCTTTGGATAATTTTACAATTCCAGTCCTTCCAACTACGGTTTATTCAGCTTCACAAGATGATAAAATATACCTTTATTTAAAGGTAATTTTTTTTTTTAGTCGCGAATGCTTTGAATAGAATTGTGTAGTTTGAACATGGTTTGAGTGACACCTCATAACCGGTTTTTTGTGAAATAGACACTTTGAACAATGCAAGTTCTTGCTAAGTTTCGGCTCTAATGGAACAAACAAGGCTTGTGAAATGTTTGAAGAAAGCTTTGCCGCGCACCTGACAAATGAACAAGGAAATTGTCACTGTTAAGATCAGATGTTATTCAAGAGAGATTTTGAAAAAACAGTACTGAGCAATCTTTAGAGGTAGAGGGAAATCATGGATTAAAAGTTCAGGACAACAAAGGGATACAGGAATATGTTGGTTACGTTTCACATTTACGTTTATTGGGCGTTACCTTGACGGCAGTTTATTCAAGAGATGCATGAATACATTTATGAAAAACATTGAAATAAGTGACAGCTATTTGTTTCATTTGGTCACTAGGCAAATAATTCTTTTTATGAATCCCGGCTAAAATGAAAATAAGAGTTGTGGTAAAATACTG